TGCCGTGTGAACTTTGGATGCTACGTTTAAACTCGTAACTGATTGAATGTTTACTTGAGCTCACGTTGCATGTCTGAGAGACGTGGTGCTCGTGAACGTTGTTACGAGATATTTCGAATTCGGTGATGTAACGATGTTCATGCAGCCTGTTGCTTGATTTAACCTGTCTTTGAGTTTACAGGCACCTCCCCGTCAGCCAATGCGGACTGGCGTCCGAGGGGGGGTGTTAACATGCAAGCGTGCGTGTGACAGGGGAGGAATAGTAACCCTGCTGCCTTTGGCTCAAGTGTTTAACGGTCGAAGCTACATAGACCTGCTTTGCCGTTCGGGAGTATACAGGTGACCCATCGTTATCATTGTCGCCAAGCTCCCGTGCAGAACCCTCCTCGGGGTTTTGCAGGAGGAGAAGGAGGGAGCAGACGACGATAAGGGAGGCGGGATCGGGAGGAAGAGGAGAGACGGAGGAGAATGGCGAAGTGGCGGGGGGGGAGAAGGGGGTGAAGGGGGAGGTGCAGGGGGGGAGAGGAGGAGGGCGTGCTTTAGGAGCAGGAGGTGCATGGATGGCATTATGAGGCGTCTAGTCAGGCAGACGTAAGCCTAGAGGCAGGCCCTCTTGAGAGGGGACAGGGGAGGGGGGACTAGGGTGAGAGAGAGAGGTAGAGAACACTAAAAACTAAAGAGCGGACCATCAAGATGTCGACGTTTCCGACGTCAAGATTGTTTCGATGTTCGCGGCGCTTCCCGAATAGCGGCCTTCGGGAGCAGTTCTTGGGCCCCAGGGCCATCAACAGACGGACCAGGATGAGCAACTTGGGCTCGAGGAAAAGGGGTCGGGACCATGGGGGGGTCCCTTCGAGCGCGCCGAGTCGCCCGATGTCTGGGGAGGTTGAGAGGAAGAGCAGGGAGGGATGACAAGTTCGGAGGTTCTCGGATTGATTGTTTTATGCTAAGGGCTCCTCTTGAGCATTCAGTGGCATCTGGGACACCTCCTGGAGACCCACGGAAATCTTCGCAGGAGGGCGGGCCCAGAGAGAAGAGCAGATGGAGAGGGAAGACGGAGAGGGGGGGGGGGAAGGAACGAGAGGGAGAGAGGGATAGGGAGGGAGAGAGGGAGAAAAAGAGAGAGAGAGAGAGGAACAACGGAGAGGGACAGGGAGTCCGAGAGGGGGCAAGAGGGAACAGGCGAGCGAGAGGGGGAATCGGGGTGAGAGAGATTTTGAGAGAGAGAGAGAGAGACGGATGGTGGAGGAGAGAGAGAGAGAGAGAAAGAGAGGGATCGAGAGGGAGAAGGACAGGGAGAGGGCGAGGGACAGTGAGAGGGTGGGAGGGCGGATGGAGGGGGCGACACAATGTGACCTACTCAACCCCTCCCCCCCTCCTGCGGCCTCTCCTCCTCCTCCTCCTTCTCCTCCTCCTTCTCCTCCTCCTCCTATCCTCCCTCCTGGTCCCTGGTTCCCGGTGGCTGCATGGTCTCATCATCCCTCCTTCTCCATTTCCTCCACCTCCCTCCCCTCCTCATCCTCCCCCCTCACGCCTCTCCCGTTCACCTTTCCCGCGCGCGCGGGGTCAGGGCGTTGCGAGACCACCTTGCCGCGACAGAGCGCTGGCATTCTCGCGACAGACATCTCGCAAGCGCGCGCGATCTATCCGGGGTCGACGGCTTCGTTTCAAAGGTGTTGGGTGTTCTGGAGGTTCGCGTCGTCGACACGGTCAGACGCAAGCTCGAAACGATTGCCAGGATGGGGTCAGGAGGGGTCCAGGGACCGATGTGAGTGGATTTCTCCCCAGACCTCCAATGCCTTGCAAATGTGAAGACGGCGAGTGTTCGCCATGTTGTGCCTCCAGTGGTTCATCTCCAGGCTGCGGGCCATCAAGAGACGATCTGGGACAAGGAATGAGTTTTGGGAAGGGGTCGAGTCGAGAGAGGGATTGGTCTCGCGGCCCTCCGCTTTCGTATAGGGTCGAGCGTCGACGAGCGAGATGGTCGTGTTTTCCGTGCCTCAATTTCGGCCCTTTTCGGCGTCTCGAGGTCTCTGGCCACCTCGTCCTCTTTCCCCCTGCCCTTCTCTGCACGTTGCTAGAGCATTGTCCTTCCTCCAGCGGTCTGTCGGATCATCTGCCCCTCTTTTGGTAGGCTCAGGGGGGGAGGCATCGACCCCCAATCGCCAGTTCATTGCCGATAGGGGCCCGATAGCCCACCCCACCTAGGATTGTCGTCACCCCGACATACTTATACTATATGTGCGTCGCCCCCCCTAGGGGCGACGCGCGCACCGATAAATCTGTCTGGCCACACCGCTCGGGACACGATATTCTACAATATCGGTATACTATTTGATCGGGTCGGACGCGCGCCTCAGAGGAGGACATAGAGCACTAGTATGTTTCTGTGTGGCACATAGGAGCGTGCAGAGTGGCTATCGACGATCAACGCCGATCAATCGGCGACCTATCGCCGAGTCCAGCTTGAGGTATTCCCCCCTTGAGCCCGACGTTCCCCCTCGCCTCTCGTCTCCTCATGCTTGGCTGTCCTGCTCTTCCTCGCCGGCAGAGGGAAGGGCAGGGAAGACTCCCCCTTCTTGCAGTCTCGCCCCCCCTCCCTCCCGCCGGTCGCGGGGATGGATGGCGCCCCCATCAGCCCTCAGGGGGCGGCCCTTCACAAACGTCCAGCGGATACACCACGCCTGCGTACGAGCGCTCGCACACCTTTGCTGCATTTCCTGCGGCCTTCCATCGAAAATGGCAGGTCCACGTCGTTTCTTCTCCACATAGCACGAGCGGGAGGAAACACGATGGCATGCGAAAGAAAAACAAAACTTGCAGCTCCACGTTTGACTGAGCAGAGCACACATACCTCCGTGGCCCGCCCCCAGCCAGGAGATGCGAGGTGCCTCGATCGGGCCCGCGCCAGGCCGGCACTCGCTCCCTGTCTCATGTCTTCCCCCTTCTCACGGGCGGCGCGGAGCGTTGGCCTCAATCGGGGGCGGGTTGCGCAGAGCAAGAGCAGATGATCGTGGCTGCCGTCGGAGTGGGGTCGGGCTGGCCCGCGGTGTGTGTCCTGGGGGCCCGAGCGAGGTGCAGAGAAAGCTTCCCCAGCCTTGATTCATCAGTATCGGCGAGGCGAGGAAGGAGGATGAGGAGGAGAAGAAGGAGGCGGAGGAGAAGGAGGAGTAAGAAGACGGGTAGGAGCAGGAGGAGGAGGAAGGGTAGGAACAGTACACGAGGGCTGAGTAGCAGGAGCAGGAGAAGGACCAGGAGGCAGGAGGCAGGAGCAGAAGGAGAGATGGGGACGCGTGGGGAGAAGAAGGATGAGATGGAGGAGGAGGAGGAGGAGGAGGAGGATAAGTAGGAGGAGGAGGAGGAGGAGGAGGAAGGGAACTAGGAAGGGACGGGGGAGCATAGATGATGGAGGAGAAGGTGTTGGCGGAGGTTGAGGGAGGATGAGGAGTGTGGGAGGGATGAATAATGAGAAGGAGTAGGAGGACGAATAGAAACAATGTACCAGAACGGAAGGAGGAGACGGAGGAGCAAGTTGACGGGAGGGGGGAGCGAGGAGGAAGGAGGGAGGACGAAACGAGGGGGGGGGAGGTAGCGGAGGACAAGGGGGAACAAGGAGGAGGAGGAGGAGGAGCAGAATTGGATGGTGGAGGTTGGCTGGAAAGGATGGGGCCTCCTCTTCCTGCTCAAGCTCTGGTTCCCGAACCTGCTCCCGTTCCTGTCCCTGCTTGCGGCCGCTGTCTGCGCCGCTCCTGCTCTGCGTCGCCATCCTCCCCTCCTGCTACCTGCTCCTCCACCCACCCCTGTGCTCCTCCTCCTCCTCCTCCTCGTCATCCTCCTCCTTCTCCTCTTCCTCCTCCTGACTCTCCTCCCTCCCCTCCTTCCCCTCCTCCACCTCCTCCTCCTCCACCTCCTCCTCTCTCCTATCTCCTCTTCTCCTCGTCCTCCTTCTCCTCCTCCCGCCTCCTTCTCCCTAGTGAATAACTCCTCCCTGTCGCACCCCGATGCCAGTCGAAAGGGCGGACCAGGCGTTTCGCTTGAGACCCCCTTTGATTTCACCGTCTTCCCCCCCATCCCCTGATCTCATCATCGCCGTCGTCCAGCGTGTCGTCTTCCTCGTCCTATTCCTCCCCTTCTCCGGCGATGTATCAGTGGGAGATTTGTGGGGCGTTCCTGTGATTGGAAGCCTCTGCCGCGGGCGCGTTCTTTGGCCGACTCGACCGCAGTCTCGAGCCAACGCCCCGGCATTACTCCGCTCGCTTTCGCTTCGTCCGTTCGTTTCGCTTCTCGTCTGCCTTCCTCACCAGGCGCGTTCCACTAGCAAGGTGCCTACTCGCAACCGTCCGACAGAACTATGTCTTCCTTTGTGCAGTGTATCGTAAGTCTCGCGCGGCGGATCCAGGCCGTTTGCGAGTAGTTACTTTGCAAGTAGTGGAACGCGCTTGTCCACTTCCAGAGGTCAAGGAAGAAGCAACCACGTCTGCATACATGTCCGAAGGACAGCACGCACTTCTTGGGTTGTGGCGCGTCCAGCGCCACCCCTGCGCGCTGCGCGCGCCAAGGACAGGGTCCCAGCGCCGACCCGAGAAGTGGCGCGGACCTCCGAGTGTGGACGTGTTGCCTCCTCCCCACCACCCCCCGGAGGAGCTCGCTGGATCCCCCACCCTCTCTTTCCTCCTCCGCCTCCGTCGCGATGGCCCCAAGGCCCACGCACGAGGGCACTGCGCGCAAACTAATGTTGGAGCAAGCAGCCGTCCTTTTTTTTCCCCCCCCCCCCTCCTCATCATCCTCCCTCGTTCGCCCTCCCTCCTCCCTCGCCCTCCTTCCACATTTATCATGTGTCTCCTTTTCTCCCTCCCTCCCTCCTTCTCCACCCCTCCGCCCTTCTCCTCCGTGCTTCGGTTCGTATCGTCAGCGCGCCTCGTCCCCGTTGTTGCTCGGGGCCTGTTTCCCTTATGCAGTCCACCACTACCCTAGCGCCTCCTTCTCCTCCTCCTCCTCCTCTTCCCGCCTCCTCTCTCTTCCTCGTCCTCGTCCTTCTCCGCCCCCCCTGCGCCGTGCGCCCTTTTGCCGACTTCGGTCTTGCGAGCTCCTTCGCTCGCAGAGGGCGCTCCGCCTCCCATCCAGCGTCGAGCTCGTGGACTCCAGGACGCTTCGTTGTCATCGTTGGTCGCCGCCGCCATCGCCGCTGTCATCGTCGGCCGCCGTTGTCGTCCGCCGCCGCTGCCGTTGTCATCGGCCGAGGAGGAGAATGAAGAAGAAGAACAGAAAGAAGAGGAACTGAAAGTTGAGGTGGAGGTGCAGGAGGAGGAGCAAGAGGGAGTGGGAGGGGCAGCCAGCGCGGGTGCGGGAGGAAGAGGGTGACAGAGGAGGAGGAGGAGGAGGAGGAGAAGGAGGAGGAAGAATGAGAGGAGGTGGTTTCTGGTCAGAAGCAGTGCCATGACGGCACATCGGAGAGTGAAACAGAAATTGTCAAACAGCGGCGTCCTTTTGTTTCCGCCACCTCCTCTTCGGATCTACGCAGGGTTCCTTCGGGGGCGCTTCCAGCGCCGCCCGCGGCACGTTCCGTGCGCCGGGGAGGGGTGCCAGCGCCGATCCGAGAGATCCGCCCAGACTTTCAAACGTGTGTGCTCACGCTGGCTTTTGCCCCTCCTGAAGCAGTGCTCGGCTTATGGTGTTCCAACGTGCTGCAGCCTTGACCACCAGACAGAATTTCGAGCACCAGGAAAGTACCGAAACTTGAGGGTTTTCGCGTGCCGGGCTCTGGGAGGCGATACTCGTTCGACATTGTTTCGATAGTTCTGTCGGGGTGCTCGAAAGTATTTCTGGGATGTGCTCCTTGAGTACGATGGGAGCCACATAATTGTCAGTAGTGCTGAGGGAGGCGGTTTAGCGAGGGCAGGGATACCAGATGGGGTTGCGCGACAGCGACGGGATGGGGCCCGAGCGGCGGTGAGGGGCATCACAGTATTGCAACAGCTTTCGAACCAGAGAAACGCCGATCCCAGACCTCCACCAGTTAACCGTATACACGTGCGCACTTCGCAGTGGGAGTCGATGTTGGAGCTATCAGCCGCGCAGCTCGCCTGTAGCTCGAGATCGAGGCATCCAATCAAGGGTAGTACCCACTGGCGAGTGAATGATTTGGCACGCCCCATGAGTATCGTCCTGTGTTCCTTCATGATTTCAGCGTTCTTGCTGGCCTCCCCACCAGGCTCTTGTTGTATTAGCCTGGGCTTGCAAAGTATACTTGTGCGTATAAGGTGAATGTATATGTATGTGGAATCGTGCATTCACGTGTATGTGTGTGTGTGTGTGTGTACACCAATCCGCGCGCTTCGCGGTGCAAGCAGCGCCACCACGGTGCAGTCGGAGAAGGTTGACGGGTGCGAGTGGGAGGGGGGTGATCGTGCGGTGGGGAGCAGTGGAAAAATTCAGGCGGCTAGCGGAGGTGGTGGTGGTGGGGGGATAGCGGAGGAGCTGCGAGGAAGCGGGGCAGCAAGCAGGGAGGCGGCCGCGGCCGTGGCTGGGGTGGTCCGAGCTTGGCACTTGCCCCCATCCCTCCTTCCCAATCTCTTATCTTGCTTCTCGGGCGCGTCCATTAAGGGGGGAGATATCTCCCCAGATTATATGGCCACCTCGCCTTACTTGCATGCGTCCCCTGGTCCCCCCCTCGTCCGCGCACGCGCCTCCGACCATGATTTGCAAGCCCCTCTTTTGGACGCCCCCTCCGGGACGCCCCCGAGCCTCCTTTCGGGAACAATGCAATTGCATAAACCCAAATTTCCAGAGATCCGCCCAGATCTCTTGGATTGGCGCTGGACCCATCCCTTGCGCGCAGAGCCCGCCAGGTGGGCGCCGGAGGCGCCGTCACGGAGTCCAGCGGCGGAGCTCCAAAAGAGTGTGGTTAAGCCGATCCTTGCCCCCAGCGCTCCCCCTCCCGTCTCCGAGGAAGGAGGGAATTCGATCAGAGGAGGGAGGGGGGAGGGAGGGGGGAGGCTGGAGGTGGGCTTGTGAAGGAATGTCTGGTTCCTGTCCTGGCGCCCTCCCCCCCCCAGCCGCCGAGGGCTTCAGAATGGTGGCACGCAGGGCGCGCGGGGGCCTGGTGCTCGGCGCGGCCGCAGCAGCGGCGTGGACCTGCGCCGACTGGGGCTTCACCGCGCCGCCCGCGGCGCGCGGCCGGGGCAAGGGGGGTCGGCTGCACGTGAGCGGAGACTGGAGCGTTACAGTACCAGTGGCGGGCTGCTTTTGTCAATCCCAGGACCTTTTGAGGATCGGGGGCGCCGTCGGGAGTACTTGTTGTTTCCATTCCCCGAGGAAGTAACGAACACTTTGGTGCAGGGACACCGGGCGTCCTCGGATGGCTGAATGCTGCGCGACAGCAGCGGCCTGTGCGCTCGGGTCTGCCCCCCCCCCCCCCCCCCGCGCGCGCCCTGGAGGCCGCGCACCAGAGGTCATGCTCGCCTGGGGTCACTCTTTGCGTGCAGCCCGGGGGGGTGGGCGGTCGAGGGCGACCCTGACTTGTGGATGCCAGGGGGTGGGGGGTCCCAGTGAAGTTGCGTTTGATGCGGCATCTGCCTTATATGCCGCGCCGTGCCGAGGTGGATCCCCTGTCGTCGGCCCAAGTGCTTCATGACGATGATGCTGACGATGCTGATGATGATGATGATTCTGATCAAAACGATCGATGAAGAATATGGTGATGAAGGAGATTATGGTGATGATGATGATGGTGATGATGATGATGATGATAATGATACTTATGAAGGTGGTGGTGATTATGCTGATGATGCTGATGGTGATGAGGCTGATGGTGTTGATGATGACGGTGATGGTTGTGATGCTGATGCTGATGCTGCTGATGATGATCTGAGTGCTGATGATGATGGTTGTGATGATGCTTGTGGTGATGTTGATGATTGATGGCGATGACGATGATGCTGATGCTGATGTTCATACTGATGTTGATGATGATGGTGAAGAAGAAGACGAAAACTAGTAAAAAGGAGGAGGAGGAGGAGGAGGAGCGCGCCCGCCGACGTCGTATGGACTGATTGGGGCAAAGGGGAGGAGGAGGCGATCGGAGGCAATTGCAAGGAGGCAGGGACGGCGTGAGGGGAGCGGTGTGTCGTGGACGAGTCCCTGGCGAAATCGTACGTCGACGCTTGTGGACGGTACACGAACATATGCTCCAGCCTCTCCTCGCTCAGCCCTGGAACGGAGGAGCGGCAGTCGGTCTCGCTCGACATAGGGGCACTGCCCCGTGCAGCGATCACGTAGTTAGACCACGTGCCAGAGAACGAGGGATGGCACAACACAACACGGGGCGCTAGTTCCACGCAGCACTTGCGTGATTACGTCTGTGGGGTGTCCACCCTGGCGGGCACGGGATCCAAGATCAGCTTTTGACGCTAAGAGGCCCGAAACGGCTCCCCGAGGCCGAAATCGAAGGAGAAAAACGTCCCTCGAGCCTCGTCCTCGAACCTCGAGCCTCACCTCCACCTCACACTTCCGCCCGCGGCGACGGCCCACGACGACGGCGGCGGCGGCGACCGTCGACTGACGATCGCGGTCGTCGTCGTCGTCGCCTTCATCGCGATCGTGGTCGATGTCGTGGCTGTCGCCGTCGTCGCCCTCGTCGTCGCGCTCGTCGTCGTGCTCAAGGCCGCGGTCGTGGTCGTGGTCGTCGTCGCCGTCGCCGCCGCCCTCGAGATCGAGGCCGCGGTCGTTGCCGCCGCCGCCGCCCACGAGGCCTCCCGCCGCGACGCGCTCGCCGCGGGCATCGCCGGCGCCGTGGGGGCCGCAGTGGGGGCCCCTGCCGACGTGGAGGCCCCGGCCGCCGCACGCCGCCGCCGCCAGGGCCGCCGCCGCCCGGGATCGGCCACGCGCAGGACTGCGTCGGGCCTGTCCCTCGACAGGAGGAAAATTCAAAAACAGTCAACACATAGTCCGGGGACGATGTTTCAATTCTTTTTGGCCACTTTGGTGCATGTTTCTTTTTTTCTTCCGTCCAAAATCCGCCTACAGGGGGACATGCCCGCCCTAAGGCTGGACCTAAACGCTGTTTTGCTGGACTTCGGCTGTGTTTGGTTTTTCGTTTTGGCAGAGAGGCAGAGGACGATAGGCAGAGCAGCATGGACGCCAAACGATTGAACGACGTTCAGGTCCGGCCATGGCGCAGGAGTGATCTTTCGCCCCGGTGGCTTTTGGTATCGGCCTGCAGGGCTTCCGCCAGCATTGGCTGACGCGCTCGCATGGCGGGGATTTGTGCTCTTCCCCGGGGCCCCCTCAGGCCGCGCACCGAGGATGCCTCCTGCCCGGGGGCACTCACTGCGTGCAGCCGATGGGACCCGTTGGCTGACGGGTGAAGGCCGGCGTAGCACGAAAACAAAGCAGGAGAAGATACCGATCCCGCCCTTCGTCCTGGAGAGTTTTCGCCACGACGCTTGGATTCTCCTCGCAGTTCTGGGCAGAACGCACCCCAGGAGAGGTTTCGACGAGGAGCAGTCGGCATACAGTCGATCTCGATCATCAGAGAAGAGCGTGTTCAGACAACGGCAGTTGGCCTTCGGGGAACCCCCTCGTCGCAACGGCTGGACGCAGCTCAAGACAATCTGTGCGTTTTGACCCCCGGGAGGGTCTCCAGGGGCCGATTTTAAGTTGCCGTTGTATCAGCTCACCCCCCTCCGAGATCAGCTGGCCGACCTTGCAAATCCATGAGTGTCCTTGTGTCCTGCCTATCGCGTTCCAGGCCCTCCTCATGGCTGGATCGTGTGTTTGCAGTCGGCGTCGTGGCTTGGATTCGGCCGGGGCAGTGCAGCAGTTTGGGTTTGGGTGTAAGAATGTGATCCGCAAGGGCTTCGCCCCATGCCGCCAGCTCCCTGTCTCGGATAATGGGATATGCAAAAGCTAAATCATGAGGTCTGGGCGCCGCCGTGAAGCAGTGTCGGGACCTGTTTGTTTTTCGACCCTGACCCTACGGATCTGCGTGAGGGGTGCCGCCTAATTTCAGAAATGTGGCAAGTTCCCCGTGTTGTTGGACCCTGACTATACGGATCTGCGTGAGGGTTACCGCCGAATTTCAGAAATGTGGCAAATCCTTTGTATTTTTTGGACCCTGACCCTGCCGATCTGCGGGAGGGGTGCTGCCGAATTTCAGAAATGTTGCACATCCCTTGTGCGTTTGGACCCTGACCCCGCCGATCTACGTGAGCGGTGCCACCGAATTTCAGAACTGTAGCAAGCATTTGTGGTTTTGCATTGTGGCCGCGTGCGGCGTCGGACGGAGCCGGTTCGGACCCTTCAGTTACAGTCAGTTCCCCTCAGTTACACTCAGTTTCCTTCAGTTACATTCAGTTTCCTTCAGTTACACTCAGTTTCTCTCTGTTACATTCAGTTTCCCTCAGTTGCGCTCAGTTTCCTCTCGGTTACATGTAGCTTTCCTGACACTGCGTTTGCGGCTTGGTATCTTACAATTGCAGCCTCTTTCGGACGCAAGGAACTGAGACGAAACTGAGGGAAAACTGAAGGGGACAGCGGCGCCCCTTTGTCAACACCTCCCTTCGCCCCCTCCTTTCAGTTTCCCTCAGTTGCACTCAGTTTCCTCTCGGTTGCATTTAGCTTTCCTGGCACTGCGTTTGCGGCTTGGTATCCTACAACTGCAACCTCTTTCTGACGCAAGAAACTGATACGAAACTGACGGAAAACTGCGGGGGACAGCGGCGCCCCTTTGTCAACACTTCCCTTCGCCCCCTCCTTTTCCCATCTTCTTCCGCCATCCTTCCTCGCTGCTCTGCCTCCCTCGTGTTCCTTCCTCCACCCTCCCTTATCCTTGTCCTGTTCCTGTTGTTGTTGCTCCTCCTCCTCCCCTCGTGCTTCGGGGCGTCAGGCTTTCCGGGGTCGCGACCTCATGCTGATGATGCTGATGATGATGATGATGGCGATGCGTGTGACGATGAGGAGAGGAATATGATTGTGACGGACAGCGGGGATGAACAACATGATGGGTTGAGGACAACGAGGAGGAGGAAGAGGAGGAGGAGAAAAAGGAGGATGGTGGCGGTGGTGATGGTGAGGGGGATGAGGAGGAGGAGGAGGAGGAGGAGGAGGAGGAGGAGGAGGAGGAGGAGGAGGAGGAGGAGGCGTGTGGCGCCGCCGGTTCTGGTTCACCACGCTGCGGCGCCGCATGCTAAGCACGATCCGGTCCCACAGCGCACAGCGTCATCTCCTCGAGTTCCTGCCAGCCTCCCGCCCCGCGGAGCGGAGCGACACGCTATCAGCTCGCCAAGGCATAGCGTGCCGCCAGGGGCGCCGCTGCGACACGCTAAGCAAAAGTCCCTGGCCGTAGGCTTCTTGGCGGTTTTGGGCTTTGGCTGGGACTGCCAGCGCGTCCTTGTCGCCACGAGGCCAGGTTTTCCAGAGAAATATCCGGCATGCTGCAAGCGCCACATGGGGCGTTTCAGAAAAGGCCTTGCCTTCAAGGGTCGAAGGAGTTGTCATATCTTCCTCGGCGGAAGGCAGCGGAACGGCGGCGGAAGGTCGTCGGAAGTAGAAGATGTCCCCCCAAGAGATGAAAACAATTTTGGGTTCAAGGTCTCCGAGACCGCCCACATGAGGGGTCCGAGGGGCCGAAAGGAACGGGAGGGGCCCAGATTTCCAGGCGCCGTCGGGGCATCATCGGGGGCGCCAGAGAGGGACTACAGGGCGGCAGTCGTCCGGCATTGCGGTTCCCATAGCTTAAAGTTATGGGAAACGCTATTGTGGCTCATTGGGTGCGGTTTTTGAAGGAAAATTGAGTTTCCCATCGCTCGCGAGGTGTAGGGCCTCGTCCAGGGAGGTTCTTTGCTGGCGTTTTCGTGGGCTCCCTGGGGTTTTGCCAGCCTCCGGAAGCTCAGCCGCAGCCGCGCCTCGCCAGGAGCGGCCCCCCAGGTGTGCCCGGATCGTCCCGTGAGAGGCCGCCGGAGACCGGGTGTGGCGTCCTGAAAACACCAGGCGCCCGACAGGGGGTCAGGACTGTGACTTCTTTTGTTTCTTCTTCTTCCTCCTCCTCTTCTTCTTCTGTTTCGTATTCTTCTTATTCCTCTTCCTCTTCTTCTTCTTCTTATTATTATTCTCCTGTATTTACATTCTTACTATTTTCATATTAGTATTATTCGCCCTCTTCGTCATAACACTGATGGTTATCACTGTATATTCTTATGTTGTATTTGGTATTGTTTTCTTGTTCTCATGATTGCTCTTTGCATTCGTATTTGTACTCGCATTCGCATTCGCATTCCTATTCGTATCATATGTATTTTTCTATACGTATTATCAGTAGTTGTGATGTCTATGATCAGTTGTTATCAGTAGTTGTGATGTCTTTTTGTTCTTCTTCTGCTTCTTTGTTCAACACGCTCCAAGGCCCCCGCTCGTCCGCGCCCCATGCTTTTGGCCCCAGTGCGCACCACCCCCTCTTCCTGGCCCCCCTGGGTCCGAGCAGATGGGGTTGGAGGATCGCGCCGCATCGTCGATGCATCGGCGATGCGGCCCGATGTGGAGCTCGATTTTCTCCGCTCTGGCGTCGTCGATGCATCGCCGATGTCGCCGATGCATCGGCGATGTATCGCCGATGTATCGCCGATGTGTCGGCGAGGTTGTCTTGAAAAATGAAGCCAGGATCGAGGACCGAGGATAGGATCGATGACAGAGGCGAGGATCGAGGACCGAAGTTCCAGGTTCGAATGCCTGCACTCCGATTCAGACTGATTGCGTCATGCCTTAACTCGGGTAGCTGAAGGAAACGGAGGGTAACTAGGTGTAACTAGGTGTAACTGGGCGTAACTAGGTGTAATTCTTCACGCTTTGCGTATCCCCACCAGCCCATCTCAAATCAGCAACTCTAGGGAAGCATGCCGACAGTCGTGTTTTTCAGGCGTGTTTCCGCCTGCCCCCGCATATCTCCCCTGTTCCTCCTTCCTCCCGCCTCCTTGTACATCCTCCTTGTGGTGGGAGCGGGAGAAGGACGAGGCGGAGGAGGAGGGAGAGAAAGCGCTCCTCGTGGTTTGAGTCGTTTGGGGTTTCTCGTCCTGGTGTGAGTCGTTCGGGCCCTTCTTCCTGGTGTGAGTCGTTCGGGCTCTTCGTGGTGTGAGTCGTTCGGGCTCTTCGTCCTGGTGTGAGTCGTTCGGGCTTCTCGTGGTGTGAGTTGTTCGGGCCCCTCGTCCTGGTGTGAGTCGTTCGGGCCCCTCCTCCTGCCCGTCCAGAAACGACGCCCAGGCGAGTAGAGGGTCGTCCTGATGGGCTTTTCGGCGTCTTGGGTGCCTCGGGGGGGCCTCTTTGGGCCGTTTGGGATCCTCTTGGGGGCCTCCTGGGGGCCTCTTGGGGCCATCTTGGGGCCTCTTGGTGCCTCCTGGGCGCTTCTTGGGGCCATCTTGGAGGAAATCGATCAAAGAAGAGGGGAGCTTTAATTAGCGCTGCCCCCTCAGAAGGCCAAAATGGGGCCAAAACCTTAGTAAAATCAATGATTCTGGCTTGAAAGAAGAGGGGAGCTTTAATTAGCGCTGCCCCCTCAGAAGGCCAACATGGGGCCAAAACCGTAGTAAAATCAATGATTTTGGCTTCGAAGAAGAGGGGAGCATTTTTCTCCCTCCCCCCGTCGGGGCCAGAATCCTCGTGAGGGGTGTCGTTTTTTAGCCCTCCCAGGAGTCGAAAAAGGACCCTCTGACCACCCGCGGAAGGACCTCTCCAGGTCCAGGGGGAGGGGGTAGGGGGAGGGGTAAACCCCTCCCCGAAGGGGAAGAAGGGGGGTTGAGAACAGAGAGAGCTCGCTAAACCACTCACGCCCAAAGGGCTGGTGGGACTAGGTGTAACTAGGTGTAACTAGGTGTAACTGGGCGCAACTAGGTGTAACTAGGTGTAACTAGGTGTAACTAGGTGTAACTCGGTGTAACTGGGTGTAACTGGGTGTAACTAGGTGTATCCGGAAACGCTCTCATGGCGTTTGCTGCGACGCTCGTTGCCGGGACACTGTGGTTTTGGACCCTGGCCCCGCCGATTTGCGTGAGGGGTGCCACTGAATTTGAAACATGTGGCACATCCCTTGTGTTTTTGGACCCTGACCCCGCCGATCTGCGTGAGGGGTGCCGCCGAATTTCAGAAATGTGGCACATCCCCTGTGTTTTTGGACCCTGGCCCCGCCGATCTGTTTGAGGGGTGCCAGCAAGTTTCGGACATGTGGCAAATCCCTTATGTTTTTGGATCCTGAACCCGCCGATCTGCGTGAGGGGTGCCAGCGAATTTCGGAAATGTTGCAAATCCAATGTGTTTTTGAACCCTGACCCCACCGATCTGCATGATGAGGGGTGCCACCAAATTTCAGAAATGTGGCAAATCCATTGTGTTTTTGGACCCTGGCCCCGTCGATCTGCGTGAGGGGTGCCACCGAATTTGAAACATGTGGCAAATCCCTTGCGTTTTTGGACCCTGACCCCGCCGATCTGCGTGAGGGGTGTTAATTTTTTACCCATCCCAGCAATTCAGAGCACACGCTCCGGGCGTTGTAAAAATGCCCGTTTTGGGCCTCCCCCCTCGCGCGGTCCATCAACAAGGAACAGCAAGCAGCAAGAAGCAGAACGGTAACAGTGGAAATTGGAAGCTGCAAAGAAGCAGCACTGTAACAGTGGGAAACGGAAGCTGCAACTGGTACAGGAAACTGCGAAGCTTCGGCCTGCAGCCTGGTGGCCCCACAAGGGGGCTGGCGGATTTTCTCTGGATGTTGTATTGTCGCGGCGTCACATCTCAAGGGCGTTGGGAGGGATCTCGGAAGACCTCGGCGGTCTTTCGCGGCCTGAAGGCCGCAAGCGAAAGCGATGTCGAGGACGTCGACGAGGACGAGGACGACGGCGAGGACGACGGCGACGGCGAGGACGACAGCGAGGACGACGACGGCGCTGACAACGACGGCGCTGACGTCGCCGTCGTCGTCGCCGCCGTCGCTGTGACCTTCGCGATGGTCGCCGCCGCCGCCGCCGTCACCGTCGCTTTCGAGGGTCGATGGTCGAGTGTCGGCGTCGGGGCTGTTGGGCCAGTGTCGGCCTCCTGTGGGATTCCGTGGCTCTGGAGGCTTCTCGGGACGATCTCCAGATATGTCGTCACCGCCGCCGCCGCCGTCGCCGCCGGCGGTCGTCATGGACTCCCACCCCCACAAGTGTGCACTTCATGCCGGCACCCGGGGAGCCGCTTCGGACCGCGGGGGCCAACGGACCTCGGCTCAGGATGTGGACCTACACTGGCAGGGTGGACCTGCTCGGAACCTTTTAGTTTTGGGCGGATTATGGGTCAAGGGTTAAGTCGCGCCTGTCTCTCTACAGGAGGAGTAGTCAAAAATAATACCAAAAAATAGTATGTGGACTATTTTTGAGCAGTGGGAGTAATTTTAAATATTTTGTAGAAGCTTGTTTGTCCGAAATCCCCTTGTTTGGGGACGCCCGACCGGAGGCGAGAGCCGAGGTGCTTCCACGTGCATCGGCCTGTTCAGGCTTCTCGAGGAAGTCGGGGCTGTCGCCGCTGCCGCCGCCGCCGCCGTCGTACTTGTCATCCACGCCTTCGTTGTTTTCGTCGTCGTCGTCATCGCCTGAGGGGTGAACAGGGGTTGGACGAGGATGCGGAGGAGAACGAGGAGGCGGGTGACAGCACGGCGAATGAGGAGGAGGAAGATGAGGAGAAGGAGGAGGGCGAGGATGCCGAAGAGGGCGAGGATGCCGAAGAGGGCGACGATGCCATGTCTCCCTCCCCCTCCTCCTCCTCCCTCTCCCTCCTCCCCTCTTCACTCCTCCCTCCTCACTCCTCCTCCTCCTCATCCCCTCCTCCCTCCTCCCTCCTCATTCCTTCCTCCTCACTCCTCCTCCTCCTCCTCCTCCTCCTTTTCTCCTTCTCCTCCTCCTCCATCTCCTCCTGCTCCTCCCTCCTTTCCTCCCTCCTCCTCCCTCTCTCCCTCCTCCTCCTCCTCCTCATTATCCTGCTCCTCCACCTCCTCCTCCTCCTCCTCCTCCTCCTCCTCCTCCTTCTCCATCCCTCCCTCCTCACTTCTCCCCACTGCCCCCGCAGCTCGCCCCGGAGCCCAGGGGGTGTCCAGCATGGCCGCCTTGGACCCCCCAAGACGGCCGCAAGGTGTACACATGTACACCGCCCCCCACTCCCTCGTACCAGGCGGACCCCAGGACGGCGGGACGGTCGTGCCGTGTCGACGCGGCGGCGACCTTGGCAAGGTTGGACGCCGCCAGGTGCCCCCAAAAAGGGTTGGAACGTTGCGGTCGTTCAGGGCTGAACGACCCACGCGTTGTTAGAAACCAACGCCGACGTCATCACGACGTGAACCCAAGGTAATTACGTACCATCCAGGGGGCCCCAGTGCCCCTCCCTCCCTCCCCGGCTGGAGGCATATGAGCTTCCACCGCTTGGTTATGCCTACGACGCCCTGGAGCCGTCCATTGACAAGGCGGTGGGTGGGAGGGCGTTCGGCATAGTCGAGCCCAACGGCCAGAGAGGTACGCTACCGAGGAACCAGACATCCGTCGTTTCGAACAGTCTGCGACCGCCCGTGTTCCACAATTCTGAATTCTGAATCTTCAGGAGCCGTCTTCGGCCCCCGGGGACGATCAAAAGCGGTTCAGGATGACGAACCAGCCGAGGGTTTGCGGAAAACCGCGCACAAGGGGGCGCGGAAGAGAAACCTTGCGCGTGTGTTTTTCCGCATCCCCTTTCGTGTCTTTACAGCATCCCCCAGGATCAGGAGGTCAGGGTCGGACGAGGCTAGGACGAGGAAAAATCCGTTCCAGAGCGTTATGGAACGTGCCCGGACCGTTGCGGAACGCTCTAAGAAGGCTGCGGCGCCCGAGGCGTCACCCAGAGCCGCGGGATCTCATAGCTTCTCGATTTATCCTCCCCCGATGTTATCCTCGTTCTGGCTGTGTCTTATTCCCTTATTCAGGATCAGGAGGTCAGGGGGCACATGTCTGGAGAAGCCAAGCCGCTGGATGTCCTAGGTCTTGACCGCCAGCGGCGCGACGAGGCACGCACCCGATGTGGGCCACGTGAGCGCCATCCCGCGGCCCCGCATGCCCCGAGACAGCGTCCCATGGGGTTCGCCCCTGCACAAGTCGCAGGCTTGAAGCCTGGATTCGCTGGAGTCTCAGAGGAGGTGAAGGCACCCAGACCGCTACCCTTCCCTCGTTTTACCCTTCGGGGGCCTGGGAGGCCATAGTCGGCACCGCTGGATTCGCTTCGAAGTTCTGGTCAGAACGCACTCCGGGAGAGGTCCGGGGAATGGCGGTATCGGTACCTTATGGTTTCCCCAGAGACGGTCTCAGGGGGCGTGGTTGTGTGCTTGAATTCCTCGCGCACCGAGGGGCCAGAGCGCTCGAAGACGCTGCTTGCGATGGCAGGCGTTAAGCCTGCTATCTTGTTTTGTTATGGAGTACACAAGGGGTCGTCATAAGCTTCCTATGGCATTTGCATGTTAACCAGCCTGGACCCCATACTGTGTGCTTCTAGTGATGTGTTGTGCAATATATGTTGTGAAGTCTATGTTGTATAATATTTGGGGTGCATCCTCTGTCGTGCAATGACATATAACTTGTGCGCCCTATGTGGTGCAGCATGTGTTGTACTATTCATGTGATGCAACATATGCGGTTCAATACATGTTGTGCAAGTTGTGTGGTGCGGTCCAAGAGGTGCAATAGATTTGGTGCAGCCTATGTTGTGCAATCCATGTGGTGCAATAGATGTCCTGCAATTCATGAAGTGCTATCGGTGCGGTCCAGGGTATGTTGTGCAACCTATGTGGTACAGTCTGTTGTGTGCAACCTATGTGGTGCAATCAATGCGGTGCAATACCTGCGGTTCAATCTATGTGGTGCACTTCTATATTGTCAAATGTATGTTGTGCAATCCATATAGTGCAGTCTAGGTTTTTGTAATCAATGACTTGCCCAACTTGAAGCTGTCCTCTCCACTGCTCGTGCAAACACTCCACCCTCCCACCCGCAACTTGGTCGCACTTGGCAACGACACCGACGCCGACGACGGCAGCGACAACGACGACGACAACGCCGCCGACACCGACTGCGACGACACCGACGACGTCTCCAACGACTTTGACGACGACGACGATGACACCGACGACGACGCCGACGACGACGACGATGACAACGCCGACGACGACGACGCCGACGACGACGAAGACGACGGTGAAGACGACGACGACGACGACGTCGCCAACGAAGACGACGACGACGAGGGAGGAGGGAGGACGACGACGGCGACAACGACGGCCACGGCGAGGGAGGAGGGAGGACGGCGACGACGCGAACGACGAAGAAGGAGGGAGGACGGCCGCGCCGACAACGACGAGGGAGGAGGGAAGACGACGACAGAACGCCGACGACGGACGACGACGACGAGGGAGGAGGAGGAAGGACGACCACGACGACAACGACGACGGACACGACGACGGAGTCGACGACGACGCCAAAGAGGACGACGACGACACCGACGAGGAACAACGGAGGACGACGGCGACGACGACGAGGGAGGAGGGACGACGACTACGACGCAAGAGCGCGCGCGCACGCTTTTGTTGAAAATCAGTGTTGCGAAACCATGCTTTTTGATTGTTTTTTGGACAGTCGATCTTGAAATCTCATCGAAACCAGAGGTTGTTGAAGGATTTCGGCATGCGCGCGCCGCGACGCGCGCGCGCAATTCGTCATATTTCTTTGCAGAGGAGTCCCGCGACGGCATGCGCGCAAGGGCGTTCGAACGATTTCGACATGCGCGCGCGAAGCCCGTCTGGTAGGATTGTAGTGGCCTCGGGCCAGGGCCGCCGATCAGGGACCATTCCGTTGCTGCCGAAAGCGTGCGATGGCGGTCATGACCAGCGACGACGGCGAGCGGTGAGGATGATGACGAGGATTGGGAATGGAGGCAACGGAGTAGGATGATGATGATGAGGAGGAGGAGGAGGATCATGATGAGGAGGGAGGGGGGTGGAGGGGGTGGGGCAGGAGTAGCAGGATGTTGAGGATCAGGAGGTGCACGAGGAAACGGGAAGTGGAAGAGGGGGAGGGGGAGAAGGAGGAGCGCGACGAGGATGAGATTTTCGGCGGTTGTTTGGGATGTTCGGCGGTTGTTGGGAAGCCTCTTTGGGACCAGGCGTTGGCCCTCCCAGGGTTAACACTTCGCCGATGTGGTGCACTCTGTGAAAAGCTTCGTGCTAGTGCTGTCTGCGTCACAGTTATTTGTGGAGTCTTGTGCATCGCTGGTCTCTGCTGGGAACCATGGTGCGTTTGGGGTCTCTGGGTCCTTCGCGCGGTCCTCTGCGGGCCCCTGTGAGATCATGGGCGCGAAGGGCGCCGAAGACGGGAGATGATGTGAAACCATGGAATAACGTTTTGTATTGCAGCGTTTGTGCTCGGACGTAAGCGTCGTGGAAACACTGGGGCCGGTTTTGGGCTTGTCGGGGGGGGGGTCTTGGAGGCAGCTTGGAGGCGTCTAGAAGACGTCTTGGATGCATTTCTCGGGGACCTTTTTAGGGGGCTTCAAGGGGCCTCTTCGGGGACAGTTGGAAGCGTCTTGGGGCCCCTTCAGGCCTCTTGGTGGCATCTGGGGGCCTGCTGATTTTTTTTGTGAGCCGCCTTCGGCACTTTTTCTGCCGTCTTGGCGCCCTGTCGGGCGCTTCTGGGGTCCGTCCTGGGGACCTCTTGGGCCTTTTCTGGGGGCCTCCATTGGCCATCTTGGGCCCTTCTTGGGCCGTCTCGGAACCCCCTTTGGTCTTCTCTTATGCCGTTTTGGGGCTCTCTTGGGGCGCCTGCGACGCTCAAAAAGGCGAATATGCTAGAATAGTACGCTTCCCCACGGGAATGGGACACTTTTTGGTTATGAGGGCCTTTTTCGGGAGGCCCTTTTTTCCAGGGCTTCTGAAGGCATCTTGGAGGCTTCTGGAGCCGCCTTGGGAACACGGGGCCGTCCCAGCGTGAGCTGGAGAGCGGATCCCGCCTTGGGAAATAATCGAGCCCCCCCCCTCCCCATACCCCGGCAGAGTCACCCTGGCACCCTCCAGTAGAGCTGAAATTCAGGAATTTACGTTCGGGCTCTTCTGAGGGTCTTGAAACTCACGCGCTGGATCGGCGTTTTTTCTGCTAAAAAAAAGAAACGTATTAAGACAGAGCTATATATATATATACATATATATATATACATACATGCATGGTGTTAAACCGTCTTGGGAAACTTATGTTTTGCCTAAGATATCGCAAGAGCGCGCACGTAAGTGTTCCTAGTGTTTGAGAAGTTCCATGCTGAAATGTTTCCGGCACCGAAGGTTTTTGAAGAATTTCGGCATGCACGCACGACGACGCGCGCGTGTGCATTTCGCCTCTTTTTCTGCAAGGGACTTTTTCTGCACTTCGCCTCTAATAAACGACTGTGCGCGCATAGTTGTTTTTGTAGAGGATGGAGGGGTAGGGCCGATACAGTTTTGGCTGGGATAATATGCGTTCCCAAGTAGGATGGACATCGGGTCAGCATCCAATTTGTTTCGCATCGTTTCCCAGGGGGTCCTTAACCCCAAATGCTCGTGGTGCCAATAATTTCGTGACAATCTACGCGGTCCAATATACGCTTTGCAATCTATAGGGTGCTGTCAATCACTTGCTCACACCGAAGTTGTCCTCTCCACTGCTCGTGCGAACATCCCGCCCTCCCACCCGCAACTTGGTCGCAATACCTCTTAAGATCGTGAAGGTAGGTACCAAACTGCACTTGGCAACGACACTGGCGCCGACGACGACAGCGACAACTACGACGACGACAACGCCGCCGACACCGACTACGACGACACCGACGACGTCTCCAACGACTTCGGCGACGATGACAACGGCGACGACGACACCGACACCGACGACGACAACGCCGACGACGACGACGACGATGACAACGCCGACGACGACGACGACGCCGACGACGACGACGATGACGACGAAGACGCCGAAGACGACGACGAAGACGACGACGACGACGACGCCAACGACGTCGCCAACGAAGACGAAGGCGAGGGCGAGGGGGACGGGAGGACGACCACGGCGACAACGACGACAACGAGGAGGGAGGAGGGAGGACGGCGGCGACGCGAGCGACGAAGAAGGAGGGAGGACGGCGATGCCGACGACGACAACGACGAGGGAGGAGGGAGGACGACGACGGCGACGAAACAGGATGGACGACGACGTCCGACGACGGACGACAACGACGACGATGGAGGAGGAAGGACGACCACGGCAACAACAACGACGGAAGCGACGACGACGCTAAAGAGGACGACGACGACGACGACACGACGACGACGAGGGAGGAGGGAGGACGGCGACGACGACGACGGCGGCGTCGCAAGAGCGCGCGCGCACGCTTTGTTGTAAATCCGTTTCGCGAAACCCTATG